GGTTAATTCCTGCCGCCATGAGATGCCTTGTGTGAACGGGACTCATCCGTACAGCGTGCATGTTCCTTAAGTGGGGGATGGGGACATACTAGCTAAATACGCACCTACAAACTTTACTCTTAGCTGCTGGACCCAGTTTCTATGTGGACCCATTAGTTAGCCCCCACTTCTTTTATTCCAGCCATTTCATTTCTGGAAGCAGCAGCCAAATCAGGCTGAAGATGGCTCCGCTGAGATCAATCAATGGGAAAATGAGAAGGGGGCAGGAACCCTAGAGAGCCTGGGTGCGACTCGCCAGTAATGCAGGCTCCCAGCACAGAGTCTGTTCTGTCCACTTCACCCCTCGGGGAGCTTCTCTCCAGCCCTGTGTGAGGCTGGCGGTCAGAAGGCCTCCTCACAGGACCCCGTGTGTGGCAGAAAACCTCAAAATCCTACCATGGGAGGTTAATTTGCATAGCATTTCTTATTTTGGGGACAAAGAATGCAATCCCAGGCGTACTGAAATAAAATATTAAAATGACCTTGAAAAGATCAGCAACCCATTCTACCAGCAAAGGTCAAAACATTCATATCGGTCCCAAGTCTCCTTAATTCAGTTATGTTATAACTTCACTTTAGCGCCAAACTGTTCTCTGGGATAAACCTGCCTTTTGTTTCTTACTCCTGTGTAAGAACTCCTATGTAACCGTATTACAAAGATAAGGAACAAAGATAAGGGACAAACTATTCAGATCCACTAAAGTGAAAATCTCACCACCATCCCACCACACGGGTTAAAAAAAAAAAAAAAAAGCACATGCTTTTGACAAAAATGTCCTAATCCAAAAATCAACCAATAGCAAATGGCCGCAAGGTTGTAGAGAACAGGGTACCCTCACACCCTGTTGGTGGGAAAACAAATTGGAAATATGGAAAACAGTATGGGGATGCCTCAGTTCTGGGTTTTCCTTATGCTTGCTTCCCAAAGGCCAATCCCTAGTTCCATAGAGAAACAGACACCAAAACACACGCCCACAGCAGGAGTGCTCCCCACGTTGGGCAACCTCAGAAAACCACGCCTGAACTGCTGGAGTCAGTCCCCTATAACAGTGCATGGCACACAAACGCATGCCCCCAACAGCCTCAAAGCTCAACCTCAACCACCCCCGAAGTCCCACCCGCAGCCACTCCCTGCCTGGAGGCTGCAGCTTCACCGTGTCTGCAGTACAGGAACAATGACCACGACACTGCTGGCTTCCACGTGCCAAAGGGGCACGGGATCCTAGGGTGCCAATCCACAGGCCTAATACGCCTGCGGCAGCCGTCAATCCAGACAGCCTGACAGTGACAGATACATGCGACTGGTGTTTCCCCTTACAGAGATGAGAAAACTGGGGCTCGCAGACACAAAGTAACCACCTGGGTCGAGCCAGCAAACACTGTGCGTGCACAGCCAGGATCTTCCGAGCTGGGATGGCGCAGCCTCTCTGAACTTCAATTGGCTGAACCAGATCATCTTCTGCCAGAGATACGCACACAGTTTTCAAACAATAACTTTAATACTACCTAGGTTTATGCTCAAATAGACAATGCTGCTCCTTTCCAAAGAGAGAAAATCGGACAGCTTTCCCTACCTTGAAGGAAAGTGGCCCGCGACCATGAACTTGTTAGTCACTTGGTTCCAGCTGCCCTGCCCACTGCCATCAGTCCACCATCACGCCACTGTTCCCCACACACAGCGTGCTGAAGGTTAAGGAAGTGAAACGGAATCTACAGAAGTATGCTGGATGCCAGGTACTCAAAGCGAGTCAGGGCTATCACACTGCGTACCCGAGGATGAATTTAAGAATCTTTTCTACCCTTGGAGAGTTCACGGGCCGGCCAGCGCCATGGAGAGGGATCCAGGTGACCTGTCCACCACCCAAAGCCGGGACTCCGGACTCGATGCCTGGCACAAGGTTACAAGGCCAAGTTCCTGGGCACCGATCCTGACCCTGTCACTCACTAGGTGAGTTTACGCAAGGCCTGGAGACCTCTAGGAGTCTCAGTTTCTCACATCAAAGGGAAGCACTGGCTGCTGAGACACTGTGTGGGATCACACACGGGACGTGCCTGCGCCTGCCCTGTACAATGTTGCATGGGCGTGGCTCACACCGGCTTCCTGTCAGGAATTCTGTGATGTGGTTATTAACAACAATGAAATTAAACCATGTAAACGTAATTAAACCGTATTACAAAGATAAGGAATTCTCAAATGCCATCATTTCCCAATTAGGTCACTTTACTGTAACTTACGCTCTTGAGATTACTTATGTCTACTGCATGCGCTCAGGAAATACTCAGCTCTGAGGGGGGCACGTCCCTCCCAACTCCACCGTCAGCGCCCTCACACTCACAGATTAAAATCAGCCACGGAAAGAGAATTTATATGCAAAGAGGCAAACTCATTAAGTGAGAATTTCCTTTCTTTGCAGAGCCTATAAACACACACACACACACACACACACACACACACGGACATTTACTATCCTTTGGGTGTGGTTTGTTCCTCCAAGCTCGGGCAGGTGTTTAATCCCCAAAGCTACACACTGAAGGTACAAAGGGTAGGAAAACTGACCCTGACCATGACCGTGACGTCCATGAGTAGAGCTGTTGGGAAGAAATCAGGGTCAGACGGGCATAAGGATGGAGCACCTACAACCAAATCCCGGTATCTGAAAAAAGAGGGCTATGAGCCCGACAGACACGGACACAGACACACGCACGTCCTCTCTGCTTGATGTGATGCAGCCAGGAAGGGCCTGGCCAGAGCTGAGCTGATGCCAGGGCCATGCCCTGCAGCCCCAGCACATCTCTCCTTTAAAAGTCTGTCTGCCTCGGGGCTTTGGTTACAGTAGCAAAAAACAAAGCCGGCTAAGGCACATCCCTCCAGCGACCACCCTTCTCCCAACTCCTTCACCGCTACGCTCCCCGTTTCACCCCAGCGTGCCTTCCCATCCCCTCACTCACTTGCTCCTGTCTCCAATACTGCAGCACCTGCTCTTGGCCAGCCGCTAGGGCAGGAGCTTGGGACACAAGCATGAGCGGACCCCACAGGCACAGCCCTGCCCCGTCCTCTCCTGCTGGCTCACCCCCAAAGCTTCCAAGTCTCTCGAAACTCCTTCCCTCTCCTTATTTACCTCCGGTCAAAACCCCACTGTTTCTCCAACTCAATCTTGCAGTCCTGCCTGGTGCACCACGGCAGAGGTCGACATTCTCTAGGCACCACGACTGCTCCTCGCCCTCCTCTCCCTGGAAATTCACTCACTACTGGGGTTCTGTCCTCCGCCATGCCGCTGGGGAGCTCACCGCCCCTTAGGTTTCCTTCCCCTTCCACCCAAGCACTTCAGCCTGGAGCCCCCAGATTCTCATGGCCTTGACCCCGTGACCCTAATTCATCCATGCTGCTGGGTTCATATCCAGGCTACACCCCAAAGCCACAGCATCTTTTCTCTCCGGCTCCACCACGCTCCGTCAAGACCCCTTCTCTCCCCCGTCATTCTGCAGGGAACCCCCGCCCCCCGAGCCCTTCCATTCTCCACCCTCATCCCCCAGGTATGCACGCAGGCAAGGACACAGGGATGGGTTTAAGGAAGAAACATCATCACATCCTCCCACACTCTACAAAAAAACACAGCCCTCCAGGGCCTTCCCAGGGCCCACACAGCACAAGCTCTACCCTCACCCACTCCACTCCCCACTGGCTTCAGTCTCAGGCTAGACACCATCTCCTCCCCACAGGTCTTTGAACATGTCTGCAGGGTTGGTTCCTCCTTCCTCCAGGAAGCCTTCCTGGACTGACACTCCGCAGGCACCACCATGCTCTCACACAGCCTGCCCCACCCTCTCTTTGGAACCCACAGCGCTCATTCGCTGTGGGCGACCTCTTGGCTGTCCTCCTCTGCAGAAGGGGCACGCAGCAGCCAGGGTCTCACCTTCCCCCTTCTCCAGGACATCCCCGTGGCCAGGAACATGCCCGGCACATGGGAGACTCTGCACAGGAACTGACCGATGAATGAAGCAGGCAAGATCCAAGAAGCAAAACAGCTATGACCAAGAACCTTTAAGGGTTAGTTTCAAGGTACCCCGAGGAAGAACAGGACAACAATGTAAAGTGTCAAGTACCAGAACGGCGAAGACAAGTTCCATAAAACACAACAGTCAGGAGCCCGCTGGGCTGGGCTGGCTCTAGCACCCTGGCTTCCCACAGAAGCCAATCAAAGGCAATTCACTGCACCACCGACTTCAGTCTACGAGGACTTTCCCACTTGAGAGAGGTTAGGGCTTGGCTTCTGCCAGCCAGGTGGCCTTTTTCTCTCTGCTCTGCAGGCCCCCTACAAATGCTCATTGCCGCCCCCCCCCCAGCCTGGTAGCAGTCCAGCTCAGGGTCTAATCCATTCACCAATCATGGCTCAAATGAAGTCTTTAAAAAGTTAAAGCGCCTACATTCATTCATCCTTTAACAAATACCTGTCAATCTCGACTTGCCGCAGCCTGAGCTATTCTAGGAACAATGGAATGCGGTAAGTGCACCTGTGCCCACAAAGCCAGGGTACTTTTCACAGCTCGGTCAAAATATTTTTAAAAAAGAATTAAATCCCACACTCTGAAGACTTTCCTGCATCCTCAGAAAACTCACGAGAGAAGTGCCCTGGACTCCTCCCACACCTCACATGAAACACAAACAGCAGGGAGGGCATGCGCAGGACACACCCGCTTCTGCCCCCGGAAATCAGAGGCCCCCACACACCCACCCCGCACTGCTCCGCTCCCAAATGGCCAAGGGCCCCAGGCAGAACCGCCATTACTCCAGCTGGGCCTCATGACCCAGTCTAATGTAGGGGAGGGAGGGAGAGCAAGCAAGGGACGACGTGGCAGGGAACAAGAGGCAACTCAGCATCTCCATTCTCCAGGCCTCACAGCCACACCTGGCGACACTGGACATGGAAGACGCACACAGCCCCAGACCCACAACCCAGTACCTCATCAGGGACCACACAGCTCGAGGAGACATCGGGAATCCACTGCTCTCTGGTTCCGGTGGCAGTGTGGCGTGGCAGCCACCCCATGAGCCTTTGGGAGGGAGCCGCTGCTGCCTCCCATTCTCGCGGGGAGGGTGGGCCGGTGGTGAGGAGGGCTGGGCGCTCGCAGGCTGCTGGGGACCGCACGGCTGGATGACCCCATTGCTCCTATCGTGCACAGAATTGGGGGAAAACAGAGAATGACAAGGCTTGCAACAGGCAACAGCTGCACCTCCAAGTCCCTCCCCCAGAAGCCGCCATTCTCAAAACTTCCAGTGCTTTCATTTCTGCCTTTAACCACTGGGTTTTTAACCTAAAATGTCATTATTTTATTTTTTAAAATTTCACAACTTATATTGATCACTGCTATAGAAAAGAACTCAGTCCCTCTTAGATCACCACACATATGCATATACACACATGCACACACATGCATATATATACACATGCATTTGCATATATGCACATGTATTTGCATATACACACCTACATACACACATGCACACAAATGCATATACATATGCACATGCATGTGCACACATGCATATATACACACAAGAACACACGTGTGCACTCACACATTTTTCAATCCTCATCCTTCAAAACGAACTTCTCTCACAGTATCTGGTGCCAAGTGGTGTTCAGAATTCACCAACATAAATGATCCTGTAAAACACTGCTCATTGCTGAGCCGAGCAAACATGCTCTGATCACGTTTGTGTCATGGCTCTCTGAGACCCAATTCGCAACCACTTGATGAGCAAAAATCTCTACAAGTCTCACACGACCCAGTGATGGTGAAAAGGCCACAAGGGGACCAACCCACTCACTGCTGCAAGGGTCTGGGCACACGCAACAGCCCGTACTCCTCTCTCTGTCCCCGCAGCTCCACCTGCCTGCGTGCTCGCCACAGACCCCACGTTTCTGCACAAAAGCACACCGCACAAAAAAAGTCACAGCAACACAGCTCGCAACAGCCAAAATGTGGAAATGACCTAAGTTTCAAATCTCGAAGATCGGATAGATTCTGATGATTATAGAACCAGCAAAACTTAGCTCTGTATATTAACACAACTATATGGCAAAGGCCCAATGTTGAATGAAAAGAAGGAACTGATACCATCTAGGTAAGTTTAGAAACATGTAAAATAATTGTATTCTGCATTTCTGGACATACAGATCAGTAGGAATTGTCACTCAAACAATCGCTGATGGTAGAACCAGGGGCACACAACACCATTCTCTACATGTCATCCTAACTTTTAAACAACAGAAAGAAAAGAAAAAGTAAGTTGGGCTACTGCTATGGTGCAGTGGGCTAAGTCTCCACCTGCAGTAGCAGCATCCCATATGGGCGCCAGTTCCTGTCCCAGCAGCTCCACTTCCGATTCAGCTCTCTGCTATGGCCTGGGAAAGCAGTCAAAGATCACCTCGGTTCTGGCTGCTATGGCCATTTGGGGAGTCAACCAGTGGATGGGAAACCTCTTTCTCTCTCCCTCCCTCTCTCCCTCCCTCCCTCTGTCTGTAACTCAGCCTCTCTCAAACAAATAAATTAATTTTTTAAAAAAGCTAATATTTAGGCCGGCACCGCGGCTCAATAGGCTAATCCTCCACCTAGCGGCGCCGGCACACCAGGTTCTAGTCCCGGCCCGGTTGCCCCTCTTCCAGGCCAGCTCTCTGCTGTGGCCTGGGAGTGAAGTGGAGGATGGCCCAGGTCCTTGGGCCCTGCACCCCATGGGAGACCAGGAGAAGCACCTGGCTCCTGGCTTCGGATAAGCGCAGTGCACCAGCCGTGGTGGCCATTGGAGGGTGAACCAACGGCAAAGGAATACCTTTCTCTCTGTCTCTCTCTCTCTCTCACTGTCCACTCTGCCTGTCCAAAAAAAAAAACAAACTAATATTTAGGAGCTGGTCTTTCACTGAAACTGTTTCCTCCTACAAGGGACATCAAATAAAAGAACTCCCGCTCCACTCTCATGGCCCAATCTTAGGATTTCAGAGTCACTCACTTTTCTCTCAGGCAAGTGCATAAAACATTGGTCTCTATCGCTGTCCCTTTCCTGCTGCCTGAACCACACAGTGCAGAAGCTCGAGACCCTCCTGGGGCTAGGACACTTGCTGTGAACGCACAGGTGACTGGGGAGTGGGGGATGGGCCATGCCTATGCAGAACTGTGCATGCAGTAGTCCCACGATACATCCTTGTGAGCTTATCAAAGGGGCGTGTGACCCTCCAGCATGGGGGAGACCCGAGCCGGAGTCACTGTCGGAGCAGCAGGCATCCTGGGAGGTCTCCCAAGGCCCTGGCCTGTGTCCCTTCTTCAGAGGCAGGGTGCTGGGGGCCTCTGCAGATCTGCACATGGTGCCACACTCAGGCAGGGTGACTGCGGGGAGTTACTGTCCTTGTCTCTCTCTGTGAGGCAAGGACAGTGGCTGCTGTGAGTGACACACACAGGGCCGAGCCTGCAGCAGCTCCTTGTGACAGCTTCGCCCTCCTGGACCCCACGACCCCCGCGGTGTCTGTCTCCCGCCGTGTCCTACATGCGCCTGGGGGAAGGAGCCTCATCTGTCTGCTCTCGGCCAGGTAGGGAGGGGATGAGTCTCCTGCAGGGTAGGAAAGGCTGGAGGACGGATGAAGGCCTCTGTAGGCAACACACCTGGCTCTGCGACCTCAAAGCTGTTTTAGGAAAAACCAGAAAAAAACACACGCACCCAGACTCGGAGCCGTGCAGCTCTGAAGCTCTGTAAGAGCAGCCGTCTCTCTCTCTCTCTCTCTCTCTCTCTCTCTCTTATTTATTTGAGAGGTAGAGTTACAGACAGTGAGAGGGAGAGAGAGAGAAAGGTCTTCCTTCCGTTGGTTCACTCCCCAAATGGCCGCCATGGCCAGCGCTGCACTGATCCAAAGCCAGGAGCCAGGTGCTTCTCCTGGTCTCCCATGGGGTGCAGGGCCCAAGCACTTGGGCCATCCTCCACTGCCCTCTTGGCCACAGCAGAGAGCTGGACTGGAAGAGGAGCAACTGGAACTAGAACCCGGCGCCCATATGGGATGCCGGCGCCACAGGCGGAGGTTTAACCAAGTGAGCCACAGTGCCAGCCCCCCCCACCCCGTATCTCTCTCAGAGTGAGTACGATGAGGGTTAGGCATGATCGCCAAGGGATGAAAAGGGAGAATTACCTCCTCCGAGAAACGCCTGGCCCAACAGCGAGAGGATGAAGAGGAGAGAATGCAGCCACAGGACCATGTGGCCAAGGCCATGAACCATAGCACTTGGGCGCGTCCGCAGCCCCATCACACCCTCCCGCCAACCACGGGGAGACAAAGAGGGAGAGGCAGGGTGGCAGAGACAAGGTGGAGGCTCCAAGGTCGTTTTCTGAGCAGGTAGCAGGCAACACCTGACCCCCGCTGGTTCAGAGGACAAAGAGGAAAGGCCCCTCACTCAAGCCAAGGGCGGGTCCTCTGGCTCAGGGCACATGTGGCCTGAATGTGGGCCCCCTCCCTGTCCACGCCTCTGCGATGCACAGGCAGCCCACGGAGCACACACCTACGATCTCCAAGCACCACACTCCCAGGCACGGAGGTGATCAGCAAGCGACGCCTTCTCCCAGGCACATCACATCAGCACTGCTCTCGCCTTCGAGCGAAGCAGTATAAAAACGAAAAAAACAACAACTCTCCACGTGACAGGGCCGGAGAACACACCAGACACGTTTCAGAAGTTCAAATGTAATGGCCTGGTAATTACTGAAAAGCAGCATCTGCCTGTGAAATTGCTGCTAAGTATGGATTTGAAAGGGAAGAAAATTACAATAGGTGCTTGAACTCCCAATACGCCCTGGGTATTTGTCTCATCTGTGGCCCACAGCATCAAACGCAGATGCCCAGCATGTTTTAAATGGAAACAGGTTAGCAAACAAGCTTGCCCAGGGTGCAGTTCACCGGCTCTTTGAGCAAGTCCAATAGCTGCCTCCTGAAACCCACAGGAAAAGCAGCACCTTTCGCAGAGCAGGACACAGGCCCCATCCTAGCAGCACCCACTGACGCACAACAATCAGAGAAACCACTTCCGCTCAGGAACCAAGGTTTGCTCAGGAGCATGCGCCCACCATGCAAACCCACACCAAACACAGAGAGACCTTGCAATTCCAAACTTCCAGCTCACAAGAACTTGACCATCCTCACTGATTTTCCTAAGAGTGAGAAGAGTCTCAACACACAGAACGCATGCATCTGAATGAAATAAGGCTTGGTTTATTCTAGGACAGGCTAAGGTGAGATGACACGGAACCACGTGTGGTGCTACTGTCCCGTGCAACTGGCAGTCCGGAAGTCATCGATTTAAGCATTTTCCTGTCCACACACTGTGCGATAACAAAGCCCCAAAATGACTTACGGCTTCTCTTGCTGGTGGCAGACGGAGAAGAGGTCGTAAACCAAGCACACGCCGAACACAGTGAGGCCCGTCTCTTTCACCAGCATGGCGCAGGTCCCCAGGAACAGACTGAGCAGCAAGAAGGTGGGCGAAGCCGTGGGAGGAAAACACCCCGCAGCATGACAGGGACCCAGACTCCTGCAGGACAGGTGCGAGATCACGGAACGGGCGTCACTGTCTAAAGGCGAGACCTAGTGCCAATTTCACTGTACTCTAAGTACTCAAGCAGGCGACCAAAGGCTTCTTCAAGACGGGTCATCATGCAAGTATTTAAAATTGCTAAGACAGGGCATAGCGAGGTAAGCGCCTGCCTGCGAGACCACATCCCTAGCCTAGCCTCAGTCTGAGTCCTGGCTGCTCTCTTGAGATTCATCTCCTGCTGATGTGCCTGGGAAGGCGGCAGAGGATGGCCCAAGGGCTTGGGCTCCTGCCACCCACAAGGGAGACCCAGATGGAGTTCCAGGCTCCTGGCTTCAGCCTGGCTCAGTCCCCAGGCATTGTGGCCATTTGGGAAGTGAACAAACGGATGGAAGATCCCTCTATCTCTGTCACTTGGCCTTTCAAATTAATCAATGAATCCTTATAAAATAAAATTGCTAAGATGGAAAACAGTAATTGCCCTGTTGTACTGAATTTGGTACCTATATGTGGGATATAAAGATGATGATAAAATAGGATATGCAAATAAATGAACACCCAAAAGCCACTGAAGATGCTACCGTAGAGATTTACCTGGTGACATGCAAAGCCAGCTAATTAAACATACTTCAAGAGAGTAACACAGGTTCCTAACAATAGGCATAAACTCTAGAGCCAGCAACCTGGATTCAAATCATAGCTCTGCAGGTAACCAAGTAACACGGGGTAAGATACATTGTTTCTCTGCGCTTGAGTTCCCCAGTGTGTGAAATGCTATGTGAGCACTGCAGGGCCGACTAAACCAATGACTTACTACAAGCCCAGCGTCTATGACCCTCAGTAACATTTTGGTCTAGAATGTTTTATATGCCTCTACACATACAGCAGAAAAATCAGTGCACATTACCAAAACAGAATCTTTATTTCCCCCTGTGATAAAACTACAGACATTTTAACCTTTTCTTTCAGATAAGCTCAATTTAAATTTTTTACTTTTGTTAAGTGTGTTATTAGGCACAGCTTTTTTTTGCAGTTTAATTTCCAACAGGAATTTTTTAAATATGTGTTTCCTGGAGAGGCATTACAGGTGGGGGGAGGCTCTGTTTCCATCCACTGGTTCACTTCCCAAATGGCTACAATGGCTGGTGCTGAGCAAGGCTGAAGCCAGGAGCCTGGAGCTCCACCCAGGTCTCCCATGTAGGTGGCAGGGGCCACTCCCTGTGCCACAATACTGGCCCCAAGGGTTTTCAAAAACTATCCAGTGCTACAGTCTTTCGTTCACCTTACAAAACAGAACTGATCCCACAACCAGGAAACTGCACTGCTCACTTCCGCAGGTGCACACCCACTGGCTCTCACTGGGGTTCTGAAGTCTTCTCCTTATTGCTATGTCTTAAAATAACTGCAGAGAATTATACATAAAACTCGCGGTAGACAAAAGCCTGTATGGCTAAGGCTGCTCTGGGCCACAGCCCCGAGCCAGGAAGTCAGTCCGAGGTCCCACGTGATGGACAGGGCCTCAACTATTTGAGCCTTCACTTGCTGCCTCCCAGGATGTCCACGGGCAGGAAGCTGCAGCCAGGAGCCGATTCTGGACACCAGCTGCAGGCCCTCTGCAGCAGGGCATGGCTGCCTTAAGCCCAAGGCTAAATGCCCACCCGCAGGTTACACTTCTCAAAGTGATAGTGCTATGAATAACAAGCTGTACAAACCCAGCTCAGCATCACAGACGCACACACACTGCAGACGTCATCACGCTGCCAACCACATCCCAGAAAAAGCCTGAGAACGTGTTTACATTGCGAAGTGACTACTAATCTGCTGCAAAACCACAGTAAGCAGAAATTGTTAAACTGGGCTTCGATTTTCAGATTTCGCAACATGGTTTCATCACACGAAGAACGTACTGGAACACCAAGGAGCCAGGAACAAGAGACTACAGCTACAGAGACAAACACCTCTGCCCGTCGGAAATCCTTAGATGTTAATCCAGCTCATTCTTTTCCCAAGGCCCACACTGGTTCCCGCCAGGGCTCTGCGGTCTCAGCACGGCTGGCACTTTCCTGCCCGGCAGTTCTCTGCCGCAGGTGCTGCCCTGTGCACCCTTGGATGGGAGTATTCCATCATCCTTGGTCTCCACTGGGCATCAGTGGTACCGCTTTGTCTGTTGAACCACACAGGTCTCTGCACATGGCCACATGTCTCCTGTGGAGCGAAGCCACTGGCAGCATCACTGGTTTGGAACAGTGCTCCTCAAACAGCCACAGAGCCATGCAAGATCTCAGGCCCTCCAAGGGATCCAAAGATCAAGGTCAGAGCCTCTTAACCAGGCATCTCTGCACCACACAGCCTGCGGCTCACCTGCCCCCTTTCTCTCTGTCGTGCCCTGAGCTCTCTGCCTCATTCACTCTCTGTCTGAACTGCCCCACTCCCTGGGTGAGTGAGAATCTGATCTCCAGGGAGAAGGCTGGGTTACACACATCATGGGAAATCAGTTCACTGCTTCTCAGTTTCCCAAAGCAGAAAAACTTCTATATTTTGATGCAAGGATGTGTGAGGTGGAAAGGAGGCTTAGCAATGCTATCTTCTACCCAGCCTTGGTATTTAAGCCTTCAGCTACTTTGGTGAGGACATTACAGAATGGAAAAAAAAAAAAATGCAAGGCCAAAATGAAAAGGAGAAGTCAGACAAACTGTGGGCAATGACGAGAAAGGAGTGTACCTGGACTATTTCATTTCAGAGCTAAGATTCCAAATTCCATGCTCAGGCAGACTGCAGAAGCTAGAGCCTGGGTTCCCACCCCAGGAAAGCAGTCTCTCTAATATGTGGGGGCACAGGTTAGACAGGACCCAAAGGGGGAAGATCTGCTATTCTCCAAGGATACTGGGGAAAGGAAGGGCTGCTGTCCCTGGTCCCCAGTGAGCTCGCCGAGCCTGTCATGGCCCCACAGCCCCTCCTCTACCAGAACAGGTGCCTGGCACACCCGGAATCACATACCTATTGTAGGAGAGAAAGGCCAGCAGGAACAGCAGGCACGCCAACACATCCGCTCTGCCCACAATCCCGGCCACCTGGGAAGTTCAAGAACAAACAGTAAAAGCCTCAGAAAACAATCTTCACAAAATCATCATAGAAACGTATTTGTGTTTTGATCTATGAAAGGCAGGATAAAACAGAAACCACACTGCTCCTCATATACTGGTACAAAAGTAACCACTTCTGATTATCAAGTATATTTAACAATAACTTTATAGGACGAGGAGGAGAGGAAGGAAGAGGTAAGAGGCTCACACTTTGTTTCTTAACCTCTCTTCCAGCGAAGGTCAATTCACAGCACCAAAGTGCATTCACTGGGGCCGGAGTTGTGGCACAGTGGGTTAGGCCGCCTCCTGTAACACCAGCATCCCACATAAGCACTGGTTCGAGTTCCGGCTTGCTCTGCTTCTGATCCAGCTCCCTGCTAAGCTGCCTGGGAAAGCAGCAGAGGATGACCTAAGTACTTAGACCTCTGCCACTCACATGGGGGATGAGGATGGAGTTCATGGCTCCTGGCTTCAGGCTAGCCCAACACCGGCTACTGCAAGCATTTTGGAAGTGAACCAACAGAGAGAAAATCATTCAATCTCTCCCCCACCCTGTCCTGCCACCCCTCTCCCTCTCCCTCTGTCACTCTGCCTTGCAAATAAATAAAATATATCTTCATTTCTTCTTAAAAAAAAGTGTTCACTTACTGATTTACTTTTAAAAAGTGTTTTGAAGAAATAATTGAATACCAGACACTATGCTACTGTTTGGTGCTAACAGAAAAAAGAACATTAACAGAGTTTTAGGGAGAACTAAGTTGGGAAACCAGTGCTGCTTTTGAGGAATCAATGCTTCTGAGAAGAAGGGGAGTAGATTTGAACTTATGATCGCTACAAAGGTGTGTGTATGTGTGTGTCCATGTGCAAGCATGCAGTGTAGACTTCTCATCCACGGTGGCACAGGAGAGAATCCACCCGTGTGTCGGTTTCCGAGCTAAGGCACGGGAAGACCTCCCATGTGTGTCTGGCTATCTCAGCAGTGGCCCTGGAAGGCACTCCATGCATGTGTCCATTTCTTTGCTGTGGCATGGGGAGACATCCCACGGGCGGGTGCAATTCTTAGTGAGTCATCCCAGGGCTTGGCGCAGGAGATCCAAGAGGAGCCTGCATCCTGTTCTCACAACAGCAAGAAGGTGCTCAAAAAACGACAGCGGAAAGGACACAGAAGCCAACGACACGCACTTCCTACTGATCAAATCATAGGCAGTTTCAATGTCACAAGAAAGAAGAATATGCTATAAAACACTGGGGAAAAAAACCAGAATCCATCAGTTCACCCTACAAATAAACACATGAATAAGCAGATGGACGGATATTGACCTAAGTCCAGAACTGCACGAAGCAGGCAAGCGCACTGCCCACATGGGAGACTGATGGAGTTCCTGCTCCTCCTGGCTTCAGTGTGGCTCAGCCCTGGCTGCAGAGGACAGGGAGGAGTAAATGAGGACATGAAAGAGCTCTCCCTGCCTCTCTCTGCATTCCAAATAAAATAAAAACAAAAATCTTCAAGCCAGTTAATGAATGTGCGTACAGTAGAGGAGCTGGAAGCCAGGCAGGTGGCCCAGGAGTTTTTAGGCAAAAGTATCTGCACAGCTTCAAAAGGTGTCTTCACCAATCACTTAATCATTAGAGAAACAAAAACAGAAGAATCACACTTCAGAGAAAATGCAGGGTGCTTCGAGGAATGAAAAGGCAAATCTCCATCCCCGAGAAGCACACATCATCTATACAGTATTCCAGCCAGGTAACCAGACTCAGATACAATTACGATGAAACAGCAGATAAATTCAGATGAGAAGTATCCCATAACAATAGACCAGGGGCTGGCGCTGTGGCACAGCGGGTTAACGCCCTGGCCTGAAGCGCCGCCATCCCACATGGGTGCTGGTTCGAGACCCGGTTGCTCCACTTCCGATCCAACTCTCTGCTATGGCCTGGGAAAGCAGTAGAAGATGGCCCAAGTCCTTGGGCCCCTGCACCCATGTGGGAGACCCAGAAGAAGCTCCTGGTTCCTGGCTTCAGATCGGTGCAGCTCCGGCCATTGCTGCCTACTAGGGAGTGAACCAGCAGAAGGAAGACCCCCACCCCGCCTCTCTTCTCTCTCTGTAACTCTTTCAAATAAATAAATAAATCTTAAAAAAATACACCAAAATATACAACAGATTAATTATAAAACACGATAAATCTAGATGAATATTTTGTAACTTTAAATTTGTATATTTTATGTATTAAATCAGATTACTAATCATAACTCATTATAATCTATAATATTATTAGTATAGACTATATGTATAATATACTCAACATATATTTATGAATTATTATTTTATGTATATTTTAATTTTCATATTGAGTACTATATACTAATATATAATTTATGCCTTCACATTTTTATTTGTGTTGTAAAAATTTTAGTATACTGTACCTATAAATCATAAAATATATTAAAATTATAAATTATGTTTATATTTATAATACAGAACATAATCACTATATTAATAAAATTCTCTATTACATATATTTTATCATAAATTGTAGAAAAACAATGAAGATGAATAACTACTCCTAAGTACAGAACACTAAAAAAAGTATGATTAATACTCTGGTTTAGAATATAAACAACTAAATTATTAAGGTATGGAGGAACACAAATTATGCAACCTACTCTCAGATGCTCAAGTAATAAATAACACTTTATATAACATATTGAGGGAGACAGAAACGAGTAACAAAATCAACTTGCCAAATGTTAAAAACAAGTGCATCTGAAGGTAGCTGAGGCTCTCACTGTCTGTACTTGACTAACATCTAAGTTACTTCCAGGCAGTGCTACTGCAGAAGAGCACTGAAGGGAAGAAGGCAGGCGAGAAACGACTCTTGATAAATGTTTGCATTCATCTTACAACCTAAGAGCATTTCCCTTAATTTTTTAAAACTCAAGCAACAATATGATAAAAGCAAAATGGGGAAGAGTTCAGAAAAATGCCTCAAAGCGAAGGTCACACAGGGCAATGAGGGGCAGCTCCCAGGAGATGGACAGGAAACAGCAGCAGCCATGTCCCAGAGGGCCTGTGGGCCACAGCAGGTGCGCGAAACAGTGCAAAACATGGGAGCTGCGCCTCCAAGCACCCCCACAGGGGAGCACACCCCGCGCTCCCAGTGAGCCGGGGACAGACGCAGAGGACGGAGGCAGGGTTCGCACACAGGATTCTCCGGCATCCTAGGGAGACACAGGACAAATGCCAACCCCACCCCGTGCGATGCTGTCATGTAGGAGATGACAGCCACACAGCCCTGCCCTATCCTCTCTTTTCAGAAACCTCAGCATGTACACAGGTGTTCCTGCATGGCGATGGACATCACCATGTCCCTTAAAGGCTTACATGCCTGCTGTCTTCATGAAACCTGATTATTCAATAATTCTGACTATGTATTAATTACAATCTCAATAAAAAGTAACTCAACGATATGCGTGCATATGGATTGACAGCAAGTCACAAGTCACACACAGAAACTCTAGGCCAACCTACACCAGGAAAAACGTGGACAGGGCCAAAGAATTGCTCCGGCAAGAGCAAGCTAAAAGCTTGCACCTCTTCTGTCTGCTTGCATGGCTCACAGCTCACCGATTCATGTATCTATCAGGAGCGTGGGGACATTAGCAAGACTGCACGAATCACAAGTGTGGTTGGTGGCAAGGCTGGGCTGATTCACAGTCGGTAAAGCAGCAACAGTGCATAGGTCATGGGGGAAGCCCAGCTCTGCCCAGGGAACAGCACCACCCCCTCCCGCACCAGCTCAGCATCACCTCCAAGGCTTCCTGAAGGTTAAACCGTGAGCCAAGCTCACCTGCCAGATTCTTGGGCCAGCGCCAAGCACGTGGGCCCAGAGAGGCACTCATCAGAGTCCAACTGATGTGGCCAAGGTCAAGGCTTGCGAGCTAACGCTGGCTGCAGCAAGTGGGCGCGAGGTGATCACGACCAGGACGAGCATAACTAACGCATTAACTGCTTCGTACAGTGCAGCCAGCTTGGAAGCAGCAGCGACAGAATGTGCCAGCTGGCTGTGCCTGGATCTGAAGAATGCAGTGTCCCTCGGTACAGAAGCTCAGAGAAGGTGTTGAAATGTCAGCGGTAACACTGACAGGCTCTCTTGCCTATCCAAACCTCTAAGCACACACTGAATACCTTCTGCATACCCCTGCTGGGCTGAGGCCTTAGGACAAAGGGTCAGAGAGCTACTAAGTATCTGGATCACCATCACTGTGGTCAGAAACTATGTGTTTTCTTCCAGCTACTAAGCAGTTCCCAAGCACCACCTCCTTGCCAGCTACAGCGCCAGCTAAAGGGATAAAAGCCGCCTCCAGGACTTCGGCAGCTGGACGGGAGGAATGGCAGGGTATTAAACTCCACGCACGGCAGCCACATGCATCAGAAAGGGAGGAACCACTGCCAGGGGACGGCCAAAGGGATTAATTTTCACTGCAGGATCTGGAAATGGCTTCCTGGAGCGGCTGCCCTGGGCGTCTGAGAATCCAGGAACACACGGATTTCCCGGAATGTGAAGCCTAAGCCAGGACACTTAGCCAGAGGCACTGCTGGTGGGGCATCAGATGGGGCAGAGAGATCTGAGCGTACATGGCGTGTTTCTGGGAGGGAGGGAACAGGAAGCAGTGGGGGGTGGCCCATCAGAGCCAGTGCAACCTGACTCGGGGACAACACGGGCTCAAGTGGAGAGCCCTGGAAAGCAGCAGGGCAGTGGCTCCATTGGCACAAGACAAACCTGCACGCAAACACATGTCCTCCAGCCTCAAGGGGCGGATCTCCATCATGGAGGCGGCCCTGGCTGTCACTGGGAACCACAGCCTCCAACCAATGCTCAAACGCTGGGGAAAAAAATCAGTGCGCGTATCTGGATGGAACTCAAGTGCAGGCTGAGTACGCCTCATCCGAAATGCCCAGGAGGGCGAGTGTTTCAGAACACCTGCA